GGGGAAAAAAGAGGAACAAATGTAATAATCTGAACAATAAAGATTTAATTAAAAAAAAATGGGCAAAGGACCTAAATAAACACTTATCCAAATGGGCATACAGATGACTAAAAGACATGAGAAAATGCTCAAAGTCACTGATCATCAGAGAAATACAAATTTAAATGACCATGATGTATCACCTCACACCTGTCAGAATGGCTACCATCAATGAAACAACAAATGTTATGTGCTGGGGAGGATGTGGAGAAAAGGGAACCCTAGTACATTACTGGTGGGAATGCATACTCGTGCAGCCATTATGGAAAACAGTATGGAATTTCCTCAAAAAATTAAATATGGAACTGCCTTTCTACTCAGTGATCCCACTTATAGGAATATATCCTAAGAAACTCGAAACACCAATCAGAAAGAATGTGTGTACCCCTATGTTAATAGCAGTACAATTTATAATAGCTTATACCTGGAAACAGCCTGAGTGCCCATCAGTAGATGAGTGGATAAAAAAGCCGTGGTACATTTACACCATGGAATACTGTGCAGCTGTAAAAACTCTTACCCTTTGAGCCAGTATAGAGGGACCTGGAGAGTATTAAGCTAAGCAAAATAACCCAGTCAGAGAAAGACAAGTGTCTTATGATCTCATTAAAGTGGAATCTAATGAACAAAATAAATTGATGAACAAAATAGATCCAGAGACATAGAAGCATGGAATAGACTGGGGAATCTCAGAGAGAGGGTGGTTGGGTGGGAAGAGATCAACCAGGAATTGTATGCATATATTCAGACAATAGAGTGGTGAAGGTCTGGGGTAGAGGGAGGGGATGGGTTAGAAGAGGTCAATTGTGGAAAAGAGAAGGACATATGTAATACTTTTAACAATAAAGATTTAATAAAAATCAATAAGTTACAAAAAAAAATCAGTTTAAAGGTGCTAAAAAACAAAAAAGAATTATCTGCATGAGAATCCCTGCTGCATAACAACACAGAACTTTCCTGATAATGAGATTAATGAAGTAAGGGTATTGACAAGAGGTTTCTTCTTTTTTATATTGACTTTTAGAGAGAGAAGAAGGGAGAGGGAGAGAGAGATAGAAACATTGATTAGAGAGAAACATGGATCACTTGCCTCCTGCACACCTCCTACTGGGGATCGAGCCAGCAACTTGGGTATGTGCCCTGATCAGGAATCGAATCTTCAACTTCTTGGTGCCTGGTTCGACGCTCAACAACTGAGCCACACTGATCCGGCAACAGCTAGCTTTTTTAAACAGATCAGAACAAAGGAGCAGCGGCTAAGTGCTTAAAAATAATAAGCTATATAGATTTTTTTCCTGTTTTTGAGAAAATCTGTATTGGTATTTGTCTCTAATTTACAGCATTTGTTTATTTAGTTTATAATGCCATAACTAAAGCATAGCAAATGCCGTTTCCAAACTATATTTCTTTTTTTAATGTGTTACAGTAACTTACCTTTTATTCTTCCTTATTATTCTTACTTATGAATCAACATTAGATTGTATCCTATTGTATATGTTGTTTGAGCCTATGCAGATTCTCATCACTGGGCTTTTCTATCCATTTCTCAGTTGTGGGTATTGACTCCTAATAGGTTATGTCTGTCCCCCTGGCTGAAGGAAGATGCCAGGAATTTAAGCTTTATCACCACCACTACCTCAGGTGGCCCAGCCCCCTCCCTCCTGTGTGACAATCTCTCTGTTGAATTCACATCTCAGAGCTCTCTGTATGATCAGGTTAAATCTGGATTCTAAAACCACAACTTTTCATAGCCTCTTGCCTGGCCCTGTTCTGCTTCCCCCTTTGCCTACAAGTTCCCCCTGAGCGCACTTTCTCAGTAAATCACTTGCTTCAGAAATTTCAGCACACTGTGTTTTGCACATGTTGAAATCTAAATAAAATACCCACAACTGGCTATGTGATCAATAAAAAGGCAGGATAAAAACCTATTACAGCTTTTATAGAGAGTTCCTTGAGCTATGTATTTTCTCTCAATAATATCCTGTTAGGCCCTAGCCGGTTTGGCTCAGTGGACGGAGCGTCGGCCTGTGGACTTAAGGATCCCAGGTTCGATTCCGGTCTAGGGCATGTACCTTGGTTGCGGGCACATACCAGTAGGGAGTGTGCAGGAGGCAGCTGATCGGTGTTTTTCTCCCATCGATGTTTCTGGCTCTCTATCCCTCTCCCTTCTTCTCTGTAAAAAATCAATAAAATATATTTTAAAAAAATAATATCCTGTTAGCACTGTGTTGCATTAACTTGATGTCTCGCTTATATTTGTTAGCATGGCATTGCATAATGGCTTTAGTTTTATGTGTGAGAAAAAGTATATAGGATTCTGTGATTAGTAGGTCTAAAAAATGTTTCATCATTTATTACCTCTGCTTAGAACTCTGAAAATATAATAGAAAACATCAAATATTTTCTGCTTTCTGAAGTTTATTTTTAATGAGGTATCATTATATATTTCTGTCTTCTCAGTTTCTACTGTGTCTGGTCTTGAAAGAAATAGCTAGTTCAGCTAAAGCTTCTATTTGTATTTATATACAGAACTTTCCGTCTATGTCCGTATCAACATTCATATCGAGATGTAATAGACTGGACAATCGAGAAGGAAATAGGAAACATTTCCATTTGACTTTTCCTTCTGTATGGAGCTGAGCCCAATCAAATCTGGGGTTCCCCTGTTAGGATCCCAACTTAATTGTTAACAAACAAACAAACAAACATGCCTGTAACAAGTTTATATAATTTACATCTCGGATGGGAGAAAAGGCATATCTGTGCTCAAAAAAAGTGTCATTGAATCCCCAGTAGTTTTAGGTTACAAATGGAGCCCCTTCTCTATTACCCTAGAAAACCTTTAACAGGTCTGAAACCTAGAAATAATCTCAAAATAGCCCATTTAAAATTCAGAATTCAATAAGCCTTAAAACCTTACCTAACTCTAAAATTAATGTTAGTTCCCTCCAAAATAATTTTAACAATATCAGGTTCATTAAATGATACTATCCTTTCTTATACATTTACAATGCTTTAAATGCATAAAATTTTAAAACTTATTTTATCAACTCAAGGTGCTGATACAATCTCTTATATTTGCACAAAGTCTTTACTAGTAGTCGTCTGTCATTGTTAATAGGAAGTCCCTATTCCCGACCCTCTTCAGCCACTTCCTACTTTCCAAGGACTCCAGACTATTTGGACATGTAAAGGGCTTATTTGAACACATAAAGGCATCCAGTGCATTGAAAACTAGTGGGTTTGATCAGTTCAGTGAGTCCATTGCTTTTGGTTATGGTTCACAATGATGTCACTTTTGAACATAGGTCTGCATCATCCAGAACACTCTCATTCTCTGCCCTGGTGATACCCTTAATGGCCCCGATCCCTGCCAGGCCACTCTGGTGTCCAGTTCTTGAATTCTAAGATTATATATTGAAATCATACTCACCAGCTCACATTTTCCTCCTGATGATGCTGTTTCTTACACGGAGTAACGAGAAAAGCATTTCAGGGATCCATGCATTGAAGGATGAGGTATAGTGGTAAGATTTATTGGAGAAAAATACAGGACTGACCCTAGGTGCCTGGTGTCTCATCCACAACCAGATGGCTCAGAAATGTCTCACTATGGAATAACTCCAGTCTCTTGGGCCACAAACATGCTCTTGTCCTCACCAAGCCCACGAGGATCAGGGCCCAGAGATGCAGAACTTCTCTGTGTCTCATTTTCCCCATCTGCACATCTACCCCAAGTCTGCATTTGGGTCACAACCTGTGCTGCACTTGAGCTCAGCGTGGCTGCTAAGCCCGCACAATTGCTGTGAAGAGAGAGTGTATGAATGAGTGGGCAAATAAACAAAACCCAGGCCTTGGTTAAGCTTTAATTATATTATCTCCAGGTTTGGAAAGAGCAGGTTTTCTTTCAAACTAAACAGACTCTTTCCTGGCTCTTTGTGGGCTTATGCTGGGCTCTCCTCTGTGCCATCTTCGCTTCTATTGCACATGCCTTATAGTAGGACTTCCCTCTATGCCATCTTGGTCTCTACTGGGCATCCTGCAACAGAGGAATTTCCCCTTTACTTGTTCTCCTTCCACCTGGCAATCTATCAGAATGGGCCATTGTCCCCTGGGGAGATTGGAAAGTCAGTGCTTCCTGCCCACTGAGGGAAACAAGATGTTGGTCCCCTTGGCAGGGCAATGCTGCAATCCCCTGGGGTATCTGGAAACTCTAGCTTCCTAGTTAATCTTGTTTAATTAGATATCTGCTCCCTTCTCTTTCATTAATATCTAGCTAGCTGCTTACACTAATACTTTGAGACCTATATTTGGGGGTTTAGGTCTAAAGGGCATTGGCAACTTGCTGTGATGGAACCTGTCCTCCAGGACTAACCTGCAGCCTCCTATGCTGATCCCTTTTCTCCAACACAGATTGCCGTTCCTCATAGTGAGCTGCCACATGGGAATTTCCTGTTTTCCTACCAAATGAAATTAGGAGTCGACCCTGGCAGCCTTTCATAAACTTAAAATGTGGGAGAAAGCACATTCCTTTCATCTCAGCACAACCATTTCCCAGTAGTCCCCTGAAATCCTTATAGCAATTGTCTGACCTCATTTTCATAATGCATGTACTAAAGGGTAGCTCCTATTAAGGCATAGGAAACAGTGAAAAAAGATTCTCTCTCATGCACTGTTTCCTCAGTTAGATGTGTTTTCCCATAATAATGAAAATCTACTTTAAGGAGATTTGGTCTATTTTTAGACAGAGTTCACTTTGGAAGATTTTTGTTTCAACAGCTCCTCATTACATGTCTTAAGTTCCTTGGCAGAAGAAATCCAGTTTCTGGATAATCTATTCTGCCCAATTGAGCTGTAACTTCATAGTACATTTTAATATTTAGTAAGGCTTAAACTACTTAAATGTAGTTTTTTTTGTGTATGTGTGAACTAGTCTAAAATATTTAATTTTTTTTCATTAGCTCATGCTGTAAAATACACAGCTAATGTACCTGTACGTTTAAATAACAGTCCAGTTTGCTACCAAATGTTACATCTGATTGGAGAGCTAAAATTGCCCAAGTTATCACTTGACCGTGAATTCATGTATTTCATCCCTGTTCCTTTGGATGTAGCAAGTGTGATGGATGTCAACATTTTACCTCAGAGTTATTACAGGTAAATGCTTCATGTGAATTTACCATACTTTCTTCGTGTGCTTTTTTGTTTGTATTTGTTATGAGTCATGACAATGTCTAACTTGTTTCTATAGTTGGAACTATTAAAATATTTAATTGTACATTTAAGTTAAATTACAAAAAAGCCCACTTAGTTACCTCACAGTCATTTAATTTTTTTGTAAGAATTATTGTTATGCCTGTCTTTATGGTGTAAGAAACAAGCTTAAAAACTCAGGGCATTAGTTTTCTATTGCTGTGTGACAAATTTACACAAACATAGTGCCTTCAAACATGAATTTGTTATCTCAGAATTTCTTTGGGTCAGGAGTCCGGGTCAGTTTGACTGTGTCCACTGCTCATGGTCTCAATAGACAGAAATCATGGGATGGGCGACAATCTTCATCTGAGGCTCAGTCCTCTTCCAAGCTCCCTGGTTGTTGGCAGAATTTATCCTTGTAGTTGTAGGACTAAGACACTATTTTCTTGCTGGCTGTTGGCAGGGATCACTCTTAGCTCTTTAAAAAAAATAAATAAATAAATAAAAAAAATATATATATATATTTATATATATCTCAATGATTTCAGAGAGGAAGGAAGAGGGAGAGAGAGATAGAGCATCAATGATGACAGAGATGTAATGGTTGACAATAAATGAAAATTATTCAAGTTGGAAAGCATAGGACAACTTTTAGTTTCTCAGCTTGGCCTGCAAGATATAATGAGTGCTTACTTATGCCATGGAGCTTGGTCTAAATGCCATTTCATGAGAGAGTATAGTTAAACTTTAACTTGACAACTTTAGGATTTGGTGTTCTTTCAAGACCCTATCTTATAAGTAGAAACTAACCTCGGTTGCTCAAATAGGAAATAGAAGTGGCTTAAATTATTTTGTGCTGCCCTAGCTGGTTTGGCTCAGTGGATAGAGTGTTGGCCTAGGGACTGAAGGGTCCCAGGTTTGATTCTGGCCAAGGGCACATGCCTGGGTTGCGGGCTCGATCCCCAGTAGGGGGCGTGCAGGAGGCAGCTGATCAGTGATTCTCTCTCATCATTGATGTTTCCATCTCTCTATCTCTCTCTTCCTCTCTAAAATCAATAAAAATATATTGAAAAAAATTATTTTGTGCTAAAATGCATTATTTATTACAAAACTTTAATATACGAATTAATATTTTTAGTCTTTCAACTTTGGAATTAATGTATAAATGTATCAATTTAAAATGATCTCAAGTCAAAAGTTGAGCCAAATATGGTACAATAAAATCAACAGCATTAATAACTTATCCAGTGACACTTAGATAATTAGCGACAGAATATGATTCAAGCCTGATTTATAAATTACTTTTTCATGTTTTATGCAATTAACCACATTGGTTTAACTTTGTCAAGTTGAGATCTTCCTTTACTTTTGCCAGTTAATTATCTGAATAATCTTCATTCTAATTAAAACATTATAAATATGATTCCCATTTGTTAACACTTCATATTTGCTATAGGAGTCTACACATATAATAAAATAAAACAAACTAATATGGTTAAATAGTATAGATCACCAAAATTTATCAAGCATTAATTAGATTTAAAAGTGAATACTACATACTATGTTATTCAAAATTACAAACATTTTAGATTGGCTGAATAATTTAGAGATATATAGTGAAATATGTGAACATTAAGTGATATTTTTTAGTAATGATTTAAAAATATTCATTATATATGTGTATAGTGCTTAAGAGTATCCATATTTAAAAAGAAATTATGTGTGTATATTAATCTGTTAATATTTAGTCTACATGTGAGAAAGCTCTAGCTATTAAAGTAATTTTTGGTTAATTTTTGTCAGGATATGTTTAAGGGCAATACTACTTATATCATGGCTCTGGTGAAAAACACATTGTATTTAATCAGGTGTTTTAACCCTCTCTTTTTAATCTTTAGAGGACAAAAGGAACTTTTGATCATCTTATGTGGTTCTTTATTAAAATAACATTATAAATCATATTATGACCAGAAAATAAAAGATTATACAAAATATCTTTAATAAGTGTGCATATTATTATAAATATTTGTTTTAATTTCTCTAATAATCCCCAAACAGAGGAAAACACATATAAAGCTAATTACTTGCATGCATTGAGCTAATTTTTTTTTTTTAATTTCAAACAGAGAATCAAGTATAAAGGTTGTGATTCCCCCAGCAAAGCTTCTTGGTATTGATGAAAAGGATCACCCTCTTACTGTGAGTTTTCCAAAAGGCACAGTCATTGAAGCCTCTCTCGATGGAATTAACAGTGAGCTCATCTGCCGCTTTAGCTTCAAATCATCTAAACCTCTGACAATTGTCACCAATGTTCTTTTCTGTGATGACAGAGATTGCAGGTAAGATATTTAATTGTAGATTCTTTTGTTTCTGACAGTAAAGAAGAAAAGGGTTATACTATTTTACGCTATTGTAAAACAGTCAAGGAGAGACATCTAAAATAATGATTTTGGACATAACAATATTTTAAAAGTTCCAAATGCAGCGTTGCTCTCATGAGAAACTAGTGGTCACCAGTGTAATGTATACAACTAGGCTGCGTGGGTTTGAATCCTGGCTCTGTTAATTTTGGTGAAGTTACTTAGTCTTCTGCGGCTCTCAGTTTCCTCATCTATAAAATGAGGATAACCAATCTCATCCTTACTCATGAAAAATTTATTAAGTTTATACTTATTGAGAAATTGGACAGGAATTGGCACAAAGCAAATGTTAAATAAGTATTAAATGAAAGAGAGAAACATCAGTATAATGAGTTTCTAAAATGTTATTTCATGTTGCTTTAAAAGGCTCAGAGAAAGTCAAATACAACTTGGTGGAATCATATTTTTTAATTTCTTACCTTTTAGGACCAGAAATCCCCCTTTTACATTATACCCTGAGATGATTTCATTTACCAGTGAAAAAAGGCTAATGTGTACAGCAGTAAAATTTGTTAAAAATGTTTGTTGTGAGAAGTAGCATTAGAGTGAATTGTACACTAAAGATTTATGTCAATATTCTTATTCTATGTGATACTTTTTTAACTTTTAGTGGGATTATTACTATATCATAATATATATTACTAGAGGCCCGATGCATGAAAATTCATGCACTGGAGGGGGGGATCCCTCAGCCTGGCCTGCCCCCTCTCACAGTCCAGGAGCCCTCAGGGGCGGGAGGTGACCCGGCGATCAGGGAAGGGGACACCCCATGACACCTCTGCTGCTGCCACTGCCGGCAGTGCAAGCCTCGGCCGGCCCTGGTTACCTGAGCCTCGGGGGGCCTTGTCCAAGGCTTGCTTGCACCTCGGGCCAGCCCTGGGCGCCTGAGCAGCCACCATCTGAGGCTTGCCTGTGCCTCAGGCTGGTCCTGGGTGGCTGGGGGCTGAGGGGACTGGGGAACTCTGGAGGCAGGCGTGCGCCAAGGCCTGCCACCCTGGCAGGGCTGAGGGGACTGGGTGCCACCATCTTGTGGCTGTGGGTGCCGCCATCTCTGAGGGCATAGCAGTCGATTAGCATATTCCCTCCTTATTGGCTGTGGGTGCTGCCATCTTTGAGGGAGTGACAGTTAGCATATTCCCTCCTTATTGGCTATGGGAACTGCAATCTTTGAGGGCGGGACAGTCAATTAGCATATTCCCTCCTTATTGGCTGTGGGCACCACCATCTTTGAGGGCGGGGTAGTCAATTAGCATATTCCCTCCTTATTGGCTGTGGCTGCCACCATTTTTGCGATGGCATGAAGGTCAATTAGCGTATACCCTCTTTATTAGTTAGGATTCGTATACTATGTAACATATAATACCAGAGGCCCAGTGCATGAATTCGTGCACCAGGGAGGTCCCTTGGCCTGGCTTGTGGGGATCAGGCCACACCCGGCTGTCCTATATCCCCCAAGGGGTTCTGGATTGCAAGAGGGTGCAGGTCAGGCTGAGGGACCCCCACGGGTGCACGATCTGGGCCAGAGAAAGACCGAGGAAGGGCACTAGGGCATGGCCGGCCTGTCTCTCCCAGTCCCAATCAGCTGGATCCCAGCAGCAAGCTAACCTACCAGTCAGAGTGTCTGCCCCCTGGTGGTCAGTGCACGTCATAACAACTGGTCAAACAGTTGAACCTATGGTCGGACACTTAGCATATTGGGCTTTTATTATATAGGATTACAGGCCCAGTGCATGAAATTCGTGCATAGGGATTGGTGTCCCTGAGCCCGGCCTGCACCCTCTCCAATCTGGGGCCCTTCGGGGAAGGTCCGACTGCCGGTTTAGGCCTGATCCCTGGGACTGCTGACTCCTAACCACTTGCCTGCCTGCCTACGAGATCGCCACTTAACTGCTCCTCTGCCGGCTTGATGGCTCCCAACTGCCCTTCCCTGCTGGGCTGATCACCCCCACTGCCCTCCCCTGCCGGCCTGATTGCCCCTAACCACCTCTGCCTCAGCCCCCACCACTGTGGCTTTGTCCGGAAGGAAGTCAGATGTCTGGAAGATGGCCGGTCACCCGGTCTAATTAGCATATTACCCTTTTATTAGTATAGACTAGTGGCCTGGTGCATGAAATTCATGCACGGGGGGTGTCCCTCAGCCCAGCCTGCACCCTCTCCAATATGGGACCCCTTGGGAGATGTTCAACTGATTGCCCCTAACCGCCTGTGCCTCAGCCCTGCCACCATGGCTTTTCTGGAAGGACATCTGGAAGGTCTCCCAGTCTAATTAGCATATTACCCTTTTAATATTATAGATAGTATATTACTATACATATATAGTATATATATCTCTATAATAATAAAAGGGTAATATGCTAATTAGACCAGACGTTCTTCCAGACAACCTTCTGGACAAAGCCAGGGCTGTGAGGGAAGCCTGGGTCCCGAGTGCCAGAGGGAAGCCGGTACCAGAAGCTGGGGTAAGGAAGGTCTACTCTTGTACGAATTTCATGCTTCGGGCCTCTAGTAATATATTACCATTATCTATATATACTATATATATAAAAGCCAAGCAACTGGAATGATTGGAACAACCAGAATAACTGGTCGCTATGACGTGCACTGTGGTTGGCCAACCAGCCTGATGGGGACGAGGCTGGCCAACCAACCTTCCGCAGCACCTCCCCTCAGCTAGCTGGCCCCAATTGGCCCCAATCAGGGCAGGCCAGGAAGACCCCACCCATGCACAAATTCATGCACCAGGTCGCTAGTAGTCTATAATATACTGTATTATATCACATATAGTATATTCATTTCTAGTCAAAGAATTGATTTATTAGGATATAGAAGGGAGGGAAACAGATCTTAACGTGATGTTGTATCCAAGGTGAAGTATGGCTGTATCCTGAACTCCAGCTTCCATGTCTCTTTCTTGCATACGTTGATAGATAAAAATCTTCTAAATTACACCTCTCTGACTCCAATTTTTCTCTTTTGATGCTAATAGTCAATCTTTTGTTGACATTAAAAGACAATTAATTGCGGTGCTTTTGGCTCCTATCAAGCACTTACTCTGTGACGCTGTCCTAGGAAGCATTGTACCCTTTTTGTATATTACTAACCTTGTTCATAAAAGTTTAACTTCAGTTTGCTCTAGTTCTTAAATTCACACTTTGCCTTAAGTACTACGTAAGGTATACCATGGAGCTCACCAATATGAATCTGTGAATTTCTTAAAGCTAATGAAGACTCAGGCCACATTAACACAGTGGGAAGGAAATAGTTTCCCCTAAATACTGTGTGAGCTAGATGGCTTCTGAGACAGGGGTATAAATGCCTCCTAGATAGGCATGAATGGACTTTACTGTGCCAATGTCTTGAGGTCTGGTCAGCAAATGGGATGGGATGGAAACCTGAAACAGTCTCCAGGAGGTAGAGGGATGTTGTATTTGATGATTTTCTCATCTTATCTCTTTGTCATTTTGTTTCCTTTTAGCCTCAATACTTGTTTGCTCTTTCCTGAATTTCCCACCCATATTACTTTACTTTCCACTAAACTCCATTTCAACCCTCAGCAGGTTTAGGATAAAGTAGAGGTATTGGAACTAATTTAGAAACTTTGAAAATCATAGATGAGCTACAAAAGGTTTTTCCATGCACCCAGTTGAAAAAGGCAACAAATCATGAGCACTTTTCAGAACCTTAATACAGGCAAATTATTTTACCGCTGCCTTTTTAACTCCTTATTTAGTTTCCCCACAGTGTATAATCAGAGCTTCCTTCTCTGAACTCCCCAAAGCTGCCATTGCCTTTCTCTTTCTAGACACTCCACCTCTGATCCCATTGAGATAAATTAGATCTTTTAACAAGAAATTCCTCAACTGCTTTCCTTTTACCTCAGGAGTTTTCTTTGGAAGGAATCTTTCATTGTCGGTAATACTTGTGTGCTCTGTCCAAGATTTGGGTAAACAAAGATGAAATAGAAAGGGGCCCTTGTTTGATGGAGGTCAGTGTAGTAGGGAAGGTAGACTTTAACCAAGTTTTTTATAAACTACTAGAGGCCTGGTACATAAAATTTGTGCATGGGTGGGGAGGTCCCTCAGCCCGGCCTTCACCTTCTTGCAATCCGGGACCCCTCAGGGGATGTCCTACTGCTGGTTTGGTTTAGGCCTGATCCTTGCACAATCTGGGACCACTGGCTCCTAACTGCTCACCTGCCTACCTGTCTGATTGCCCTTAACCACTCTGCCTGCCGGCTTGATCACCCCTAACAACTCTGCCTGCCTGCCTGATCTCCCCTAACTCCTCTGCCTATCTGCCTGCCTGATTACCCCTAACAGCTCGCCTGCCTGCCTGATCGCCCCTAACTGCTCTGCCTGCCTGCCTGATTGCCCCAACCACTCTCCTGCCTGCTTGTCTGATCGCCCCTAACTACTCGCCTGCCTGCCTGATTGCTCGTGACCACTCTGCCTGCCTGCCTGATTGCCCCTAACCACTTTGCCTGTCTGTCTGGTCACCCCTAACTGCTCACCCACCTGCCTGATTGCCCCTAATCACCTCTGCCTTGGCCCCCGATGCCATGGCTTTGTCCGGAATGATGTCTGGAAGGTCGTTCGGCTGTCTGGTCTAATTAGCATATCACACTTTTATTATTATAGATTTGATGCCCCTAGAAGTAAATTGAGTATGTAACACAAAAGGAATTACTAATAATGTCCTGGGTGGTGGGAGAATCTGGGAAGGCTGCATAGGCTTCTGAGTAAAATCTGAAAGGACAAATTATGTTGGCTAGTGTTTATCTTCAATGGAAGCCTTTTTTTTGCATCCCTTTGTCCATATGGAAGTGCATGGGTTCAGTAAAGAATAAAACACTCATTCCTTTGCTTTCTTTTTCTTATATATGGCCATTTCATACTGCAGGTCCCTTGGGGATTAACATG